ACCCCCTTTGACCTCGCCTATTTTTGGCCACTTTTTCGGACATTCCTAAGGCCCCTGCACCTCTTGCTGGTGCTGTTTCCTCACCTGCTTCAGGTACCGGGGCTTCCACTGACTCCTTCAATTTGTCTGACCTCTGCTCTCCTTTGACTATGCTTCCGGCTTCTCTCTCTACAGTGCGGCGATTTTCGAATCGCCAGCCCATCCCACGTCGGACTGACTCTGGTCCCACTTCTAAACGTCAACGACAATCTCCTAATGATGTTACTTCGTTACCTTCTCTCTCTACTCGGAAAAGACCGACACGTCATGCACTCCCTCTCCACACTCAGTTTCAGACCACACAATGGACTAAATTCTTTACATTAAGACCAACTTCTTCTACTGCCTATCTTTCCGACCATAGTGTTGGCAAAGCACACCTATGCCACATTGGTAGAGATATTTCCTTTCATGCTCTTAAGAGTGGTACGTGCATCATCACAGTCCAGAATTCTACCCAAGCTCATGATCTTTCTCTTTCACATATCGATACTATTCCTATCACTATTGAAAAACATCATTCCCTCAATTCTTGTTGTGATACTGTTATTCTGCCCCATACCATAGTCCAACAGAATTTCCAGACATGTGGCACTGACATTCTCGAACAGCTGGAACTCCAAGATCTCCCAATTCTCAAGGTAGACACTTATGTTCTTCCTGCCCGCGGGCGAAGACGATACCCTTTGCAATGTGGCTCATTTAACTTTTGACAGCCGTGAACTCCCATCCTCTGTTTATGTAGCAGGACATCGGTTACAAGTTCGGAAGGTGATCCTTACACCACAACAGTGTAGGAATTGCTGGCGATTTGGCCACCCAGCAAAATATTGCAGATCTATAGCTGAATGCCCAGTCTGTGGTGCCGATGATCATTCTAATACATCTTGCAGTCGAACTCCCTCTTGCCTTAATTGTCATGAAGCTCACCCTTCGTACTCTCGCCATTGCCAAGTCTACTTAAATGAGCAGGAAATGCGTTGCCTTTAAAGAGGCAGAAGGTCTCCCTTATGCTATGGCAGTTTCTCATCTCCGCCTCAAAGGGAGGCTGCCCCATGTTTCATATTCTTGTGTTTCAAAGTGTCCCCCCACTTCTGGGGTCACATCTTCTGCAGCCTGCTCTGTGGTTGCCAGTCCCATAGTCACTCCTGTATCTAATTCTTTTGCTGTTCTGGGCTCAGACGTGCCTACTTCAACTCCTCAGTCTGTCCTCACTTCTTCGTGTCCTCCCTCGCAAACCCTGGTATCGAAAAGACCTCGTACAACACCTCCCAATCGTCCCTCTACTTCTCAGAGACCCAAAAAATCTCCTTTAACCCCTCCTTCCCTTCATCCACCTCCACATTTTACCTTCCTGGTCTCTGTACCTGAGTCTTCCCCTTTCACTGGCTCTGTTACAAGTGTGGAGGTTCATCCTCCTCTTCGTACTGTGGCTTCCTCCGCAGTCCCCTCCCAAGTTTCTTCCTCTTCTGTCACCTCCCAGGTTTCTTCCTCTTCTGTCCCCTCCCACACTTCTCCAGTTCCCTTCACCCTTTCGCCCCCCCCCCCTACCTTGGTGCAGTCCATTATAGCTCCGATCTTTACTCAAACTCCTCCTCCTTCCATCTCCAATATGTCTCCCATACGACGTCTCTGAACTCTGAAACACTTGAAGCAATCTCTGAATATATTGCAGAGACCAAACCATCAATGGACACTGATCCACCCTCTGTTCCTCCTCTTTCCTCTTCATTTGCACAACTCCTTTCTTCAGAATGCACCGTTCCTTCGCTACTTGAACGTTTTCCTTTGCCACCGCATGTGGACTTTTCTAACCCCTCTAGTCCATAGGTACCTTTATCTGTGGATTTCAGGTATCTTTATCGTTGCCAACCATGGCCTATTTACAGTGGAATATTCGTGGCCTCAGGGGTAATCGGGGTGAGCTTCAGATGTTGCTCTCCCAGTTTTCCCCTGTTGGTGTTTGCTTACAGGAACCAAAATTACACTCTGCCGTTATCTATCCTATCTCAGGCTATAATTTATTGTATTCTCCAGATCCTTTTCCTGATGGGACCTTTTATGAAAGTGCCCTTCTTCTACGCACTGATATTCTGTACCATCCTATTTGTTCGTACTTCGCTGCATTACACAGCAGCCCGTATCCACTTGCATAGGTGGTATATACTCTGTTCTTTGTATCTCTCTCCTTCTCGGGCATTATCTATCCCAGATATTGCCTTTCTTGTTTCGTCATTACCGCCACCACTTCTGTTACTTGGCGATTTTAATGCCCATCATTTCCTCTGGGGGTCTCACTGTGATTCCCGTGGCATTCAGTTAGAGGCTTTTCTTGCTACCCACCCCCTCCATGTTTAAATACAGGTACTCACACCCATTTTGATCCTCGGACTCATACTCTCTCTTGCATCGATCTCTCAGTCTGCTCTTCCTCCACCGCATTAGACTTCACCTGGTTTGTTCTCCCGGATTTACATGACAAGCGATCATTTCTCAATCATTCTTACTTCCCCTTCACATTCACCACCTCTTCGTAACCCACGCTGGCAATTTGATCAGACAAATTGGAACTTTACTCACAACTAACTGTTTTTAGTGAGGTTCCTTCTTCGTCCTCCATTGATGAGCTTGTTACACCTCTTCTCGTCCTCCGTTTTAACCACAGCTTCTCATTCTATACCACAAACTTCGGGCAGGCATTCTCAGAAATGCGTGCCCGAAGTGGTCTCCTGCTTGTGCTCGTGCAGTATGTTTGAAACGCACTGCGTGGGGCAGGTACCGGTGCAAAAGAACCACGGAGAGACTTCTTGATTTTAAGTAGAAGCGTGAGAGTGCTCGCCGTGTCATCCGTGATGCTAAACGCACTGCTGGCGAGATTATATCTCCACCCATCACCTCTGCTTCCTCTATGAGTGCAGTCTGGAAAAAAGTACGAAAACTGAGTGGTAAATATTCTCCTGGCCTGGCTCCTGTTCTGCGAGTTGCCGGCGTTGATGTAGCAAACCCACTAGATGTTGCCAATGAAATTGGCAATCATCTGGTCCGTATTTCTCAGGGCTCCATCTTTGCCCCTCGTTTCTTTCCTCAAAGTCTGCCAGAGAATTAGCACCCTTGGACTTTTCTTCTCTCAGAGAAGAACAGTATAATGTGCCTTTTACACTTCAGGAACTGGAGGCAACACTCTCAGCTTGCCGATCATCGGCAGCTGGGCCCGACGACATTCATATTCATATTTTAAACAACATTTACATCAGTCAGCCCTTGCAGTCCTATTACGCCTTTTCAATCTTATTTGGTCACATGGGAGTTCTTCCACAGCTGTGGAAATCTGCCATTGTTCTCCCTTTCTGCAAACCGGGTACTACGGGACTGAAGCCTCCCACTATCGTCCCATTGCTCTTACCCAGTGCAGTTTGTAAAGTGATGGAATGCCTGGTAAAATAGATGTTTAATGTGGTATTAGAGACCACACAACAGTCTCTCCTCCACTCGTCAATATGGCTTTCGTAAGGGCATGTTCTACCATAGACCCTTACTACGCTTGGATACGTATGTTTGTAATGCCTTTGCGAATAACCACTCAGTTATTGCCATATTTTTTGACCTTGAGGAAGGCATATGACACAACTTGGAGGTATAATATTTTGGCCCAAGCCCACTCCTTAGGCCTTCGAGGCAATCTACCATCCTTCCTTAAGAACTTTTTAATTGACATTTCCATGTTCGGGTTAATAATGTGCTCTCCCCGGACTTTATCCAAGCTGAAGGTGTTCCCCAGGGATGCGTTCTAAGCACAACACTTTTTCTCCTTGCTATAAATGATTTGGCCTCTAGTCCTCCATCCAATATTTGGTCATCACTCTATGTTGATGACTTCGCTATTGCATTTGCAGGCGCTATCACCATCATTACAGTTTCCCTCCAACATGCAGTCGACCGTGTTTCCAATTGGGCGAACGAACGAACGAACAAGTGCAGGTAAGATCCCAATGGAATGAGCGGGGAAGACGGGACAGACGAAGAATAGCGCTGGAGAGGAGTGTTCT